AAAGAAATTATATAATATTCTTATTTTATTTTATTTTGAGTCAGGGTCTCACCATGCAGCCCTGGCTGGCCTAGAGCTTTCTGTGTAGACTAGCCTGGTCTCAAACTCATAGAGATCTGCCTGCCTCTGCCTGTTGAGTACCAAGATTAAAGGTAAAGGATGTGCCATGGCATTGTAGCGCATTTTTGACAGATAGAAATTTAAAACCAACAAACTGAGGTCCTGTTTTTCTTGAGGAAGACTGAAGAAGGCACATGATTTCCATAGGAAGCTACCAGAAGGTAAGAATGAAGCAGAACCTAGAGGTGCGTGCTCTGAGGCCTGGCCCCAGCTTTCCAGGGAGTTTTGGAAAAGCTGCTGAAGAGTATTTATTCCCTTACTGCTATGGATGGTAAGAATGACAAGACACAATGAACAATGACATCACAGAAGAAGACAATGGAATCAAACGGCAGGCTTATACTTAGATGGATCTAAGGCCTAAACAGAGGGTTCCATGCTTTTATCAACCCATTGTGTGAAGACCCCTAAATATAAAACATGAATATAGCCACCTCCCTTGGGACATGGATGAGGAGTGTTCCCAAGTGGTAATTTATACTCTCCTGCTACCTGTCACAGTGTGGTTTGTACTCCAGCTGTTCAAAGGAGAAGGTTAGTTTGGAGGCTACTGCATGATTCTCAGTCTGTTTGTCCTTCTTGGCACCCTGGATGGTTGCTCTGGAACATTTGCAGGGAAATATGTTCACCTGGGCAGTTGTGCAAATATAATTACAACCACCAGTGAATGATTTCAGCCGTTGCGCACAGACTGCACAATGGTTTCTAGGCACGCTTGGGGCTTACTGTTTACAGAACATTTTCATGTTCGACTTCATTTGATTCTTGCCAAGTGTGGTGTCTATTTTCCGACAGGAACGTGTTTTGAGGAATCACCACCTCTAAGCTGGTTGTTCGGGGCAGGGGAGTCACTTCAGTTTTCTATGCCTCATGCCCTCACTGGAAAGTAGAGACGGTTCCAGTAGGTTCTTCAGCAGGGCGTGATGGGTGAGGTGAACAAAGGCCTTGACACCTGAGTCTGCAATGACTCTGGAGGTAGGGCTTTGCAAAGTCTTCAGGTCTTGAGGGTGGACACCTCCCGAGGATGACATTAGTGCCTTGGTAAGAGACTGGGTTTTCTTTCTGTGTCTCTGCAGGGGGAGTGCTCAGAGAGCGCCTGGAGAGGGTATGGTGGGCAGGTGTGCGCATCTTTACAAGCAAGATGGCCAAGGTAAGGAAACTGCTCCCTGCTCCCTCTAAGCAGAAGAGAACCCTACTGAAGCCCCCCCAGTTCTCAGGTTAAAACAATACATCAAAGATGAGGTTATATAACTGTATGAAGTTTGAGATGTACCCAAATGTGTTTGTGAACTTTCCCCCTCCCTCTTCAAGTATCTAAGTCAATTCACAATTATAGTAAGAGTCTATTAAACCAGTCATGTGATTTTGAAAGTCACTTCAAGAAGTGGGGCTGGACAGGTAGCTCAGAAGTTGAGAGCATTCACTGCTTTTGCAGAGGACCTGGATTTGGGTCTCAGCGCCCACAGGGGGGCTCACAATTGTCTGTAACTCTAGCTCCAAGGAAGCCTACACCCTCTTCTGGCCCCACTGGAACTGCACACACATGCTGCACATACATACAGGAAAAACTGAACTGAAACACATAAAATAAAACCAAATCTTTAAAAAAGTAAAGAGCTTGTGAAAACACTGTTGAAGAGCTAGAGAGATGGGTCAGAGGTTAAGAGCACAGGCTACTTTTTTCAGAGGTTCTGAGTTCCATTCCCAGCAACCATATGACAGCTCAAAATCATCTATAATGAGATCTGGTGCCCTCTTCTGGCATGCAGGCATACATTCAGATAGAACACTGTATGCATAATAAATAAATCTTAAAAAAAAAAAACCACAAAAACAACCCATGGTTGAAACGGAGTAAAATAAAATCACCCCTATACTGTGGGTATTAAAAGGGACATCCTCAAGTGTTTGTGACCACTAAGGGATGGCAACTGTGTGCTCATTGTGGGCTTCCCACTGTGTGTGGCCTGTTTTAATTGTGTAACATTGTAACACTGATGCATGCCAAGCTAACAACCATTTCTGCCTTGTAAGACTTGTCTTTTTATCTTGATTCTGGTCTATAATGTTTAAGGAGATGAGAAATCCCCCCCCACACACTTGTTATATCAAGGATGTGATGTCTGGAGTTGTGGCAGCCCTCTTGTGATCAGGAAACTTCCAGCTTGAAGCTAAAAACTAGCACAAAGGGAAGTAAGACTGGGAAGATGAAAATCGTCCCTGTGACAAGAGTTTTCATGGCAAGATGCAACATACACATCTACTTACTCCAGACAGGCAGTCCACGACAGACCAAAGTACGGAGAGCACCAAAGTCCAACTGGGCGAAACAATGAGTTTTATTGGAGTTACTTACAGGAATACAGGAGACTTCCAGGAGCAAAAGTGACTCAAAGAAAGCTGCACCACCAAGTCCTTCCCAGTATGGGTGGAGCTCACAAAGTTGGGCTGCAGCACCTTGCTCAATGCAGGGTCCTTGTCAGTCGTCTACAGAGCTGCCAGGCAGCTCAGCTGGTTCCTGCTGCTTCTCCAGAAGCTGGTCTCTAGTCCAAGAGTCTTTGCAGCTTGGCTCATTAGAGAGTGACTCTCTGCTATTTTATTGTTTACTCTTGGGGAGGAAGGGGCCTAGTGAATCTGGTCAGTTTGGGGGACTTGCTGATGCTCTCTTGTTTACCTTTTGTCTTAAGGAACTTGTGGGCAGAATGGAATGTTTCAATCTGGAGGAAGCTGCTACACAACAGTCTCCCTGTTAACTGCTCCATTAGCCTGAGGGTCACTGATCACCATATTAAATAAAAAGTCATTAGGTATAGTTTTGTGTGGGGGTGGGGAGACAACTAAACACATATACTGATAGAAATGTTTAATAAAAACCTCGTAGGTGCTTTCCCATGTTTAAGTATGTTGATCTTTTAGACTTCATCTTTTCCCACTGAGGTAACCATGGTGATTCCTGAGGTTGGAGAGACAGTTTCTCTCTCTCTCTCTCTCTCTCTGCAGAAGATCCACTATATTCCTAACAAAAGTAAGGGCTATAAAAAATAATGTTCTGGGAAAAGACTTCAGGGCAGGCAAGATAGCTCAGTGGGTAAAGGTGACTGCTGCCAACCCCAACAGCTGGAGTTCTATCCCAGAGACCCACATGGTATAAGGATACACTGACTCCCTGTAAATTGTCCTCTGACTTCCACACATGTGTCACAGAGTGCACACTTACAAATACACAAATAGCCAAGAAAGGAAAGCACTGACGTTCATGCTGGGAGGGAGGGGCCACCAGGCAAGCAGCTGTGTCTTCTCCTGGAGTATGGGTACTATGGAGCCTGAGGTGGGGGAGGACAGTGGATGACCTTCACCAAAGGACACTAGCAGCAGAAATGATGCACTAGGCGGAGCCTGCAACCAATCACAGCTTCCTGGGCTTTAATATTAAGCTGACCTGGAATTACAGAGTGACCAAGAACTGATTAGGCTCTAATGACACACCTGAGTGCATTGAGGAAAAAAAGATTGGTTCAAAGTGAAGAGTAAGGGTCTGATTAACACTTACCACAACGGCTTATGCTTTGAAACATCGGCCTAAAAATAGTTACCTAGCAGGAGGTCTCAGTGCAGATTCCTAGCATGGTAGGGGTGCCTATGATCCCAGCTTTAGAGACGTGGAGATAACTGAATCCTGGGGTGGAGGCTTGCTGGCCAGACAGTAGTGGGATCTCGCTGAGCCCAGGTTCAGTAAGACACCTTGTTTTATTAAAAACAATCAAACAAAAACCCCCCAAACAAGAGGTAGAGTGCTATCAAGGAGGAGGCCTGATGGTGATCACTGGCTCCCACATGTACACACTGCGTGAACACACATGAACACATGAATACACACACATACACACACACACACACACACACACAGAGTGACCAATGTCAATGCTGGTGGTAGCTTGTGGCTCCGTGGCAATAACCTTTTGTGGAAACTGCAGGTCTAAGAGAAACACAAGTCTGTCAGTATAGCAAACAGTTAGATGGAAATCTTTTTCTAGAAAATGCTTTCCTTTTAAACACTTAGAAAAATCAAAGTGCCTAGACAAAGGCTTCGGTTTGGTAATGACGTGAACAGGGCTGAGGAAGACCAGGAGATGCAGGACGAAAATATAAAACGCTGCATAGCATATTGCCACTGAGCTGAATCTCTGACTCACTCAGGGGCTCACCTTGTCTCTTCCATCTGCTGTTCGTCTTTGAGGAACCATGGCTGCTTTTCTTGTCCTTTTTTTGAAACAGGGTCTTACTCTGTAACCCCAGCTAGTCTGAATCTCATGACAGCACCCCTGCCTCAGATTCCTAAGTGCTGGGAGGGATTGCAGATGTGAGGCACTAGGTCGATCCCTAGCAAACACCTCAAGGAAATAAAAAACAATAAAAAAAAAATCCTGGCTACATCTAGTTTCTTTGACTGTCTTAACTTTGGTGAAAGATTTCTGGTCGGAAAAAAAACGAGCCTTGCTCAATAAGGACTTTCTGGCTATGTTGACAACCCATTTCCCCACCTCCCCAAGATTTCCTTTGAATCCCTCTGGGGCACCATTCCTGACTCAAGGTCAGCCTGGAGTCCTCCCCAGGAAGAGCATTCCTAAGGTGGGGAATTCGACTGTTGCTCCCCCAGTCCCAGTGCCAGCTTCTAGGTGGTTTTGGCAAAGGGGAGGTCTCTGGTCACATGACTGCCCACAGCCGTAGGTCTGAGTTTGCCCATTGGGGACAAGGGGAGGACAGCGGAGCTAACTCTGATGGCAAGCTGCACTACTGCTTTCCTCAGCCCATAACTTAACCCCATGTGTTAACTGAGCCATTTCTCCTCACACAGGGAGTTCACACGCAGATGCTGAAGATTCTTTCAAATAAAAATTTATTTTGCAAATCAGACATTTACTTTCAAATATAGTTTCTCTGTAAATCCAATTTTTTTAGGTATTACATTTATTCTTAATTCACTAGAGGCAACTGAATGGTGTCATTTTGCAATGGGTGGAATTAATAGTTTAGATGCAGTTGTTCCAGGTAGAAGGTATATTCCATTTTCATAATTCAGTCTGAACCAGAAAGGTATATTAGCCACACAAGCAGAAATCTTTTTTCTTAGATAATAAAATACATTCACTCCATACAATAATAAAATATAACTCAATATTTGCTGAAGTAATAAAAGGGCTACAAAATGATTCAGGTTGTCAATGAAGAAATGTAAATACAAATCTATAAAAGGATTATTTTCTAAATAAAATTCTAACAAGGCTGAACATTTCCAAATATCTTACATACAAAAAAGAATAAATTACTCCTGGTTAACACATTTTTGCCTTAAGGCCACTAAAAGCTGTAACAATTTTGATCACCTTAAAGTCGTAAGTTTTCTAGGGTAGGCTTTGCCAGTTCTGGCTCACAGCATACACGGTCGGGGGAGGAAGATGCTCAAAGCAGTGACAAGGTTAATTAGCTGGCAGAAAGGCTCGGGAAGAAGGGACAAGGAAAATCAGAGGGAAGATGGCACCCAGGCACTGACAGGCCAGCCCAACCGCAGGCTCGCTGTGGCTTGGGGTCCTGGTGCTTAGGGCCATCTGAGAGACCCCAGCAAGCCTTCCACTTTGAGTCAGGCCTTTCCTCTTGAATGCGATTTTTTTTAACTGAGGTGCGTGGTATACTTGAGGAGGAATCATGTTACCAGATGTTAAGCAAGAAAAGCAGGACAGAAATCAAAGCAAACGTCTCCAGTAAAGAGCCCCAAGGGCTCTGCATACGAATGCAGCAAGGAGTGAAACAGGACTTGAGGCTCTTAAAAAAAAGGCAGAGGGAGCCAGACACGCTGACTAGCGCATGCAATCTCGGCACTCGGGAGGCTGAGACGAGATGAAGGAACATTCAAGGCCTGTGGTTTGGTCCCCAGCAAGTACCACAGGGGAAAAAGGGGACAGAAAACACAGTACCCAGCAGGAAGGCAGAGACACACTTTGAGATTAGAGATGAGAGAGTGGAGTAAGTCTCTGACCACTGGACTCTTCTCCCCTACGTAGCTACTGTTAAATGTCTCCACAGGCCCAACCCAAGGCAGCCACCTGGAAACCTGCCAGACATTTCCTAAGGGCTCCGAAGCTTCATCGAGGAAAGTTCAGTTAAGTGTCTGATCACAGCGACGGGAGGACATGTGTATTTATAGCTCAATGCTTTTCAACTTTATTAGGAAATAAAGGGAACATAGCCCTGAACTCTCCTAAACTTCAGATATGCATGACACCCACACCCTCAATGACAGCAGTTTCTGAGGCCAAATAAGACTGTAGTGTGCTACAGAGGAGGCTAGAGTAAAATCAGCAGCGCCACAGCACGCTGAGACCAGGTATGAGGGAATGTATACTTGGTCAGGATATGAGGGAATGTATACTTGATCAGGTATGAGGGAATGTATACTTGATCAGGTATGAGGGAATGCATCTGGACCTGGAGCCCTTTCTCCAAAGCTGTGCTAACACGAAGCAGTTAACAGTGGTCTAGATGGAATGGCATTCATGGAGGCCTGCAGTGTGTAAGGGGAAGCTTTTGCTGGACTCTTTTTTGAAAGGGGGAGAGAATATATCAACGAAGTATTTTATTAAGTGGCTAAGACTTTTTTTTGTCTACTTGAAAAGGATAACTTCCATTGCACCCCGATACTGTTCCAAGACAAAAGCATTTGATTTCCATATCATGTGGGGCTCAGAATCTTTTTATGTAATTGTTTTCAAAAGAGGCAAGAACTTAATGATTTCTAAAACAAGAGGTAGCTTTTATTTTTAGCAATGTGTTTGGAACAGTGACAAGGGGGGATTTATTCCACAAATCTGATGGTGCAGTCTCTTGGGGTTTCTGCTCTGTGTACCAGCTTGTGCATTTGTGCCTGTGTGGGGAAAGCCAGGAAGGGTCCCTCGGTGTCACTGCTTCCCAAATGCTCACTCTTAGCCATGTGCCAACAGCTCAGGTAAGAGGAGAATGAGCTTCTCCAGAGAAACCCGCTGCACCCAGGATCAGCTTGTTTCAAAGAGGAAAGGTGGCCATGGGGTGTCTTCGGCCACAAAGCGATCAATGCACCCAGGGCCAATGCCAAGCACGGTGGCTCTCTCCCTGGGCAGGCGACAACCTGAGCTGCTCACAGGCACTGGATACTCATTCTAAAAGCTGTGTACACTATAGACATCCCTCAGGAGGACAAACAGAAGGCAGTTCACTCAAACCACAAACTGAAGCAGGGTTTCATTCTAAGAATTCCAAGTTTTCTAGGTAGTAATGATGAGTGTGGTGTTAAACTCCCACATCATGAAAGAAAGCAGGAGGTTGAAGAGCGAGGAAAGTTAGCGTTCTGAAAGGGAAAGAGGTTGAGCATGGTGGAGTTGACGTGGGACTGTGAGTTCAAAGTCAGCCTGGGCTGAATAGCATGACCTTGTCTCAAAACCAGAAATGTACTCGTGAGTGGCAGCAATAAAAGAACTCGTGCTAGGATTTCAAGGCTTCATTAGGTACCAAGACTCCCAGCTGCAAGGCACATTAACAACAACCACGGCAATGTTACTAAGACAATGAAAGCCCAAAGACAAAGGCACCTAAGGTGACCAGCACAGACAGCATCATTAACACCACAGCTGCTGCGGCAGAAGCAGGGATGGGGGGGATCGGCTGCTGATGAGGCAGAGAAGAGCTGGTATTCTGGGTTGAAATCCAATGATTCTTCAGATTTAAAGTCACTTTGTCTTCCAAGTGACTTTCCACAATACACACTACTTAAAGCTGTAGAGGACTCTACTAGTATTTATTTTTGTCATATACTGCAGGTTAGACCAAGTCCAGTGTTAAGTTCAATGGAGTCTTGAAAGTGTGGTCCACACAGTTCAGTCCAAAGGCCAACTAAAGAGAGGAACTCCGAAGAATAATTACAGAAATCCCAACTTCTTCACCTTGGTTATGGATCCACAGTTTACACAGAAATAAATAATATGCATGAAGTCAAATTAGGATTAAAAATTAAAACAAGAAAAGAAAAAAGGATTGAGAGGGGTAGGTGGGACAACACTCTGGTACTCTTAAGGCAAAACAATGGGGATTTCTTTAAATAGACACTTTATTATATCCACAGGCGGTAAAATCCCAGAGCTACTGTTAGGCACGTAAACACAGACCCTGCAAGACAAACAACCAAGAGTGCTGTTAGCCCCCTCAGTCACTTTCAGGGATTTTCTTTCGTACTGTACCAGGTGTCAGGGCTGAGGGACGAGGGACGGCAGGCTACAGGCACTACCTCCCTCTCCTTGCGCCAGTCAAGACCTGGAGACAGCACACCAGAAGGTGGCCATCCATGAGACCCTGTTTGTTAAAGAACACGTCTCCACCCTTCCAATCCAAGGCAGAATCGAGACAACTGTAGTATCAAAGCGCATGCATGTGTGCTATGCACTTCCAGATAAGGAGCAAAATTTCAGTTAACCACTGCTGTAACTTTAAAATGCTTGATTAATCTGAAATATTAAAACTGACTGGAAATAGTGACCTTTGAAAATATTTATCTCTTTACTTGTATGCAAATGAGTGCTTGCCTGAATGTGTGTTTATGCAACATGTACATGCCTGGTGCCCATGGAGCCCAGAGAAAGGCATCAGATCCCCTGGAACTGATGTTACAGGCCGTTGTGAACCACCATGTGGGTGCTGGGAATTGGACCCAGGTCCTTTGCACGGGCGAACAGTGATGATGTTAGGCACCGAGCCATTTCTTCAGTCCCCTAGTGATATATTTTTTTGATGCCAAAATATTCCTTCTTTGGCTTAAAAACTACAAAAGCAAACATGTCTTCTTTACAAGATTGTCCTGTGGCGAGAGAGATGGCTCAGTGAGAACAACCTGAGCCTGTGTCTCTAGAATCCATATAAAAAGCTGTGTATGCCAACAACCCCAGCTCTCTCTCGTCCTCTCTCTCCCTGTGCATTGGGGGAGATACAGCTGCCAGCTTAGCTCCAGGTTCCGAGACAGATCCTGCCTCAGGGAACAAGGTAGAGAGTGACAAAGTAGGGAAGCCATGCCATCCACTGGTCTCTTCAGGTACCCTCCTGGGTACTCCTCACCAATGGAGTAAGATGGTCACAAATCAAATGCCTTCCATTCTGTTTATGAGCTACTCCCTGTGCTGAACTTCACCGAAATCCCCGAACCACAGAGGATGGCTAGCATCCTATCAAATTTAAGGGCTCATCAATTGTAAGTACAGAGGTGTCTTTATTACTAAGGGAAAATGCAAAGTAAAAGAGGTGCTCCATCTACTGAAAACTGCATGGTGTGCTGCAACAAAAACACGTCAGAGCAGGAGACGGCGCTGCCAGTGACGTGCTGCCTGCCCCTGCCTGTTCTACGCCATTGACCGCATCCTTCCCAGCTGTGCCAAATGCTCGGGCGCGAAGCATCTCACCTGCTAAGTATTTGATCGTGTCAAGCTTGTGTGCCTCCAGCATCGTCTTGAGGCCAGCCACCTCGGTTTCTATCTTCCTGTCTGTCTGGGTCAGGGCTCTGTCTTGCTGGGCGTGCTTTGAAAGCAAAGAGGTTGAGAACATTAGGGTCTGTGGGTGCTGGTCTGTTCCCTGGAGCTCTGAGCGAGAGCTCGCTCTCAGCAGTGTGCAGCCCTGGATGGAGAGCTGGAGCTGGGCTCAGTCTCGACCCTGCTAGCCTCAGGCCACACTGTACTGTCCAGGGCCCTTAATGTCTGCTGGCTCGTTTCATTCTGTTTGAAAAAAGGGATTAAAAACAGAACAAACCAACAACTCACCATTGGTCTTGTCTCCAGAAGAGCTATTGAGAGAATGAAAGACAATCATCTATATGGCAAAGTTTTTGAGAACCAGACAGCTTTACGTGCTGTGGCGTTATGACACCAGCCTGCTCTTGATGGCAGCGATGTCTAGTCCTTGTTAGCCCCTGCAGGGGACAGTGGACATAACAGATCTGCTGAAAGACGAACGTGGCCTTAGACCTGACAGCAACAGGGCTGATTCAATACTATTTCTAGCCCCATCTTTTCAGGCTGTCTTCTCTCACAGGTCAAACATCAAGTGTTTTACTAACACAAGTCAGCTACCAAGGGCCGTTTAATATCCTCCAAACATAAGACAACTCCAGAACGCATATTTAACTCTTAGTGGGCAATGATTATGGTTGTCATGCTAATGCATAAAAACACTGGGAATGTTCTATTAAAGATCCAAGGACGAGAAGTTTCTTTTTTTATTTTTCAAGATAGGGTTTCTCTGTGTAGGAACTCGTCCTATGGACCAGGCTAGTCTCAAACTCACAGACATCTGCTTGCCAATAGTTTCTTACCAATGTCAATGCAGGTAAATAATAAGCAAATGAAGCCATTCCAGAGAAAGATCCTTGTATCCCATGGAAAGTCCTGCAGCACAGGTCTGAGGCAACACAATATGGATATCTCCCTTCCCTATAAGTTACATTCGTGATATATATATATACATATACACATATATATGCATATATATGTATATATATCAGAAATATACACACACAGAAATTAATTCATGTCTTAGATTGAAAATATAAGTAGTGTCTTATATTTTGTTGTTTGTTGATCATTGAGATTTAAATGTTCATATTACTTGTCAATCACTGATACCGAACACTCATAAACATGATTTTGTTAAATCTGAAAGTCCTATAGTATTCAACTACTGGGCATTTACTCCAAAGAACCCAGAACAGAAAAATCTAAAACATGTCTATACATCCCTATTTGTCACATTTCACACAGCAGCCAAGTGACAGAAGGAACCGGAGTGCACAGCAACAGGTGAATGGATGAGGTGTGTTACACAATAGAACAGCTCTGCTCCCTCTTACAAAGGGAGTCTGCCATGCGCAGCTACATGATCGACCCAAGGCAACATATTCCCTGAGGCCAGTCAACCATGGGGAGACACACCCTCTCTGACTTTACTTACACAAGGTCATCTAGAAGCGTAGACACAGGGAGACAGCAGGTCTCTGGGGCCGGGAGGAGGGACAGAGATCTAGGGTTTAAGAGACCGTTTTGGGGACCAGAGAGATGGATTAGGTGTGGAGGCGTGTGCCTGTAATTCCAGGACTGAGAGTCGGGCAGGTGGATCCTGGAGCTCACCAGCCAGTCTAGCCAGCTGCTGAGCTCTGTGTTCAGTGAGAGACCTTGCCTCAAAACAGAAGGGGAAGAGCTATTCAGGCAGACACTCGATACTGACCTCTGACCCCTACAGGTACATGCAGAGTTGTACAACCCTCCCAAGAAAAAAAGTTTCAGTTTTGCAGAATAAATGACATTAGGGATGGAGAAATGGCTCAGTAGTTAAGAGCACTTGCTGTTCTTCCAAAGGATTGGAGTGTGGTTCCCAGTACCCGTGATGGACAGCTTACAACTTCCTGTAACTCCAGCTCCAGGACCCTAATGACCTCTTCTGGCTTCCACAGGCACCTGCATTCACATGTGCACGAGCACGTGCACACACAGCACATCTTCAAAGCATGACATTGAATTATAAACACAAAATTGGTGCAGTGGTCATTCTTACGTACATTTACCACACTGAAAAAGAACCCACACTGAATGTGCACATCCTCCTGTAACAGGTCAGACGATGGTTGACCCCAAAGCCATGCACGGGGAGAGGCAAAGATGAATAGAATGACAGCAAAGTCAGCCTCAGTCCTTACCAGGGACACCATTTCTGTCCTGAGCTGCAGCATCTTCTTCTCATTCAATGAATACTGAAACAAACATGCAGCACGGGTTAGCGTCTAGTCCATTGTCTTTCCAGTGAGTTAAATTTCCCGTTCTCATTGCTTCCCAGAACATCTAAGAGGAGACGTCACCCTGCATCCCGGCAGCCTACAGCTCTTTCTTTGGAGTTGAGCCTTCTTATTTATATCCACTGGTTGTGCTGACTGCTTTAACATCAACTCGAAACAAGCCAGAGTCTCTTGGGAAGACAGAACCTCAGCTGAGAAAACAACCCACCAGACTGACCTTGGGGCATTTTCTTGATTTGATGTGGGAGGGTCTAGCTCACTCTGCCGATGGTCTGGGAGCTCTAAGCTGGCTTAACAAGTCACTGGGAACAAGCCAGTAAGTAGCACTCCTCCATGGTCTCCAGGTCTCTGCCCTGGCTTGCCTGGACGATGGACTACAAGCTGTAAACCGAAATAAACCCTATCCTCCCCAAGCTGCTTTTGGACACAGTGTTTCTCACAGCAACAGAAAGGAAGCCAAGACACTGCTGAAGTGTAGTCCCTTTCCACGTCTCTTTGCTGTTTCTCATTTTATCTCTTGCTGTGATATCACTGGGTCCTGCCCACTATTAGAACAGCATATCTTGGGTCCCATTTAGATGGGTGTTGATCAAAATGCTTTTGGATTTGTAAGGGGGATGGGACACCAGTTTAATTTAGGAATGTTGCTCCCATAACTACAAATGTGACAGACATTACTGACATGATAGGAATGATAGGAACAACATAACATTAGGAAAAGATAAGTTCAAGAAATATGATTCTGAACAAGATATACTACTGCTATAAAGCATAACACAAATACAAGAGACACAGCAAAGCGTCACAAACTATCCTAACAACAACGGCCTAAGGAACTCCGCTGCAGGAAACTGCAGCCCAGTGTTTCCAAAGGCCTCTAGCTATTAATGGTGGTAAAAGATTTAGTACAACTCTGTTGACAATAAAATAAAAATCAGACATGTTTCCATAATGAGCATTAGCATTTAATTGAGCAAATGGCAACCTGTAGTTTAAATGGACATTTAGAACTTAACATTGTTAATAGGAAAAATGATAATGGCTGAAGGTACCTAGAAAATCTCTAGCTGTAAAACGTTGTCTTCAAACCACCGGAACAACAGAATGTAGTAACACAGTGGTCAGAAGTAAAAATGTGTCCCCAGACTCCGGAATCCTGAACTAACCAGCCTGGTGACTCAGGACCCAAACAGTTACATAAGCTGGGAGGGTTTCAGATCTGTGCCATTCACCATATCGCCACCAGAGGGCAGAGTGGAGCTGGATGTTCTGCATTAACAAAACCACAGGGAAAAGCAAGGCCTACATCTTGACACTGTCACCATTATTACAATGACACTTCTGTGGCCCTAGCTCCTGGAACTCCAGAACTGCAGCAGTCTATACTGCTATGACAATTGGCTGTAAATATCAGCACTGCTAATAATTGTTGGCTGTGTTGGATATCAAACTCAGGGCTTTCAAAGTGCTCGGCCAGTGAGTCACAACCTCAGCCCTAATTAAAATCTGAAATTAATATTTTAATTTACCAAGAAGAAAGCCAAACCTTCGTTTGCATTAATGCACAGTCACGTATTTACTAGGTGCCATGCACTTCTGTCAAGCCGACTTCCTCACTCAGCAAATCCTATACATTCAGAGGTTTTCATCCATATTCACGGCCTGCAGCTTGGTTTTGCAAAAGCACACCATGACCTTCCTAAACCAAGTGAACCGCAGCAAAACCTAGCTGCCAAGGAGGTCACAGAAGATTTCCATATGTTGGCGGCTAGATCTTTGTGACTGAAAGGTATCCTAAGATTTTAAAGACAGCCAATGGGCTCAGCAATTACTTTGCAAAGCTCAACTTAACCTCTGAACTCCAACAGCAGTCCTAGATACAACTATGCACTTGTCTGAGCTCCAGTATTAGCTTCATTCATCATCGTGACACATTCTGACAGAAGACGAACTGAGAAGCGATGAGCATGAGGGCTATGTGGACTTGAACGCGTGGGGCCCGTTCTGAGTGCAAACATGTTCCCCATGCCCTGGTTTCCTCATGCCGCAAGAAAGAAAGTTGCCTTCTTATGTTACCCAAGCTAACGAGGGGCGAGCAAGAAGACGGGAGAATTCAGACAGGCTAAAAAGTCAACAGGAGGAGCTCAGGGCTGTACTGTAGCCCAGGAGCATGGGGTGGGGTATTGTACTGTAGCCCAGGAGCATGGGGTGGGGTACTGTACTGTAGCCCAGGAGCATGGGGTGGGGTACTGTACTGTAGCCCAGGAGCATGGGGTGGGGTATTGTACTGTAGCCCAGGAGCATGGGGTGGGGTACTGTGGCTCAGTGGAGTCACACTAGAGAATAGGAGAACCAGAGTCTGAGTCCCAGAGCTGCTAAAACATGAAAAATAAAAATCTGCCGGAGCAGCCCGACACAGTCACTGAAACACACGATTACTCTGGTATTTAAGAGACAATACAGAGGCTGGGCAGTGGTGGCGCACGCCTTTAATCCCAGCACTCGGGAGGCAGAGGCAGGTGGATCTCTGTGAGTTCGAGGCCGGGCTGGACCGATAGCCTCCGAAACAATACAGAGAAACCCTGTCTCGTAAAACCAAAAAAAAAAAAAAAAAAAGAGACAATACAGAGATACACATCACCAATTCAGGGTAGAATTTAATATAATAACAATATTACCTAAGTTAGAAAATCAGGAACTCTTGAAAAGTTAGGGACCATGGGGGATTAAACCAATATTAAATAGATTGAGTTTGATTTTCTTACTAACATCTATGTAACATAATCTACTATCTTTGAAATAAAAGATTCAAATTCAATTTGAACAACTTTTTAATTTAACTGTTACTTTTGAAACCAAATTTAAGTCTGATCTAAAATGTAATTAAAATTTAAAATAAAGTTGTGATCTCTGATAAACGGATGAGTGTCTAATATTTGTATTTTGCATACAAGATTAAGACTTCAACAAGCACTCCATTCTAAAGAGAAATAAATTAATAATTTACTTTTAATAAGGGAACATACCAATTCTTTTACTCTGCTCTTCTCTAGATTGAAGTTTAATTTAGTATCTGTCCGGACTTTGAGGACTTCATCCTGGTCAAAGGGCAGGGGACAAAGAGATTGAAAAAGCCAGTGTAAGCAATCTGAACCTCTTGAGGGCTTGCACCGGGGACCGTCTATCCTAAGGGAGCCAGCCCAGGAGGAACATGGCAGAGGCCTTGGAGGCAGGGACTCAGGACCAACCATCTCTTAGCCAGCTCTGTGTCTGGCCCTCCCAGTTATCTGCATGGACGATGCCCTCTGAGCCGAACATCAGCCTGGGAGGGCCCAGCTGTTTTACCCTCAAGACTCTCATGACCTCCCCCATGGAATCTGTGAATAAAATTCTTTAGAACATTTTTGAAAGCAGAGATGGACCAAAGGACAAATAGTCAACTCTGGTTACATAAAGCTTTCTCACTACGACTAAAATCTTTTCTAACACCACTGTTCTTTCCTACTTTACAAAGCGACCAACTGGGTGAGCAAGCATCTAAACCCACAAGGAATCCTGCAAAGCCACCCTCTCCGAGAATGGTCTCAGGGACCCACGTGGCTGCTTTACAACAGTTTTGATTTACAGTGACTTAGGCAGACCTGGGGGCAGAGGCTATCAAGTCCAGCACTCAGGAGACACAGGGGGAGATGGCAAGCTGGAGTTACACACGCTGAGACCTATGTCAATACACCCTTCTACAACACCATTTCCCTCATGAATGTGACCACAGACAAGTGTAACTGATACAGCACCTGATGTGTGCTTTGAAATATATTACACAAATTCTAGAGATGTGCGTTCTCCAGCACCCACAATGTACGTGTGAGATCTTATCTATTAATGAACGTATATGATTACATGCATGCCTGAGGACAAGAAGGAACTTACCATCACTTGCTGTTTTAACTGATGTAGTTCAAGTTTTATTTTCTAAAAAGAGTAAAGAGAAAAAAGTCAAGGACACGACAGTTAGAGGGAACCATAAATCAAACATCACAGCAAACATGCAAGCACAGGCTCACCAACCCCTCATCTGCGGCACACGACTACCTCAGAACACGGAACTACCTAAGCTGGCTGCAGTGGTGCAGCCTCCAATCTCAGCATTGGGGACACTGGGGTTGAAAGGCTGTGCAATTAATGAGGCCAAACTAGGCTACATACTGAATAGAACACTAGCCTGAGCTACATAACACTCTGTCTCAAAAAAACCAAAAACCCGAACAACTAAACAACCAAATGCCCCAATGCACAAGTAACTGGGAAACCAGCCCGAGTCCCGTGTGGATGACATCAAGTGAGGAACACCTGTGGCACACATTTGTCCTGAGGGACCCTGTTTTCTTTTTAATTCCTCCTTGGCTTTTCCTTTCAACCAATTCTGCCCTCTACACGCTGAGTTCAAAGTCAACTGTGTGAGTTCCCCAGGCAACAAATGACTCCCTCACAGGACTTCAGTGCAACTGAGGATGAAAGCAAGATGCAAAGAAACACTTCCCTAAGTCACACACCACACTTTAAAGAGGCAGAAAGTGGGCTGGTGGGGTGGCTCAGCGGGTAGAGCACTTGTCTTGCAAGCCTGACAGCCTGAATTCTACTCCCAAATCCCACAGAAAGGTGGAAGGAGACCCAGCCCCACAAGGTCGTCCTCTGATCTCCACAAACATGCTGTGGAATTCACATATGCACATGCATACACATTCATTGTACACATATCTAATAAAAAAAACCGGGGGCTGGAGAGATAACTTAGTGGTTAAGAGCACTTATTGCTCTTATAGAGGACCCAAGTTTAGTTCCCAGCACCCACACAGCAGCTTACAACCATCTGAAACTCCAATTCCAGATGATCTGACACCTTCTTCTGGTCTCTGTGGGCAGTGCATGCAAGTAGCTCACAGACATACATGCAGGCAAAATACCCATAAACATAAAAAAGCTTAAAAAGAAATAATATTTATTTATGTATTTATTTTTGTAGGGAAAGTGTATTTTGTAGATCTATTCCTAATGCTGCAGACTGGACAAAAAATCCTAATACTAGGATGATCTGCATAGTAATAAAATGCCATAGACAATGAAAACAAAAGGCTCTGTTATTGCAGGGCACACTGTATGCATCCACCAACCAGATGTCTTAGAATGGGCAACACCAGTGGAAGATTAAATCAGCCAGGGCTGTTCTCCTCTTGAGAGGAGGGGCTGGAAGGGGCCTGGGCAGGGTTTCCAGGGCTAGCAGCGTTCTCACTTTGCTGTGCTCAGCAGTGCAAACTCTTACCAGCTGCTGTGAGTAATTTTCTAGGCATGTGAAAATGTCTTAACAGAGAATGTTACAGTGGCTGTGCAGTTTTACCTCATTTTCTGCTCTCAGGGCTGAAAACTCACTCTTCTCCAAGATGACCATATCTTTTTTCACGTTAGCAATCTGAGACATTATTTGCTGAAGAGTGATTTCCTGGAAAGAGAGAGACAAGCATGGACTCTAGTGTGGCCCTAACCCACTTCTTACCTCCGCCTACCGTGGCTATAAGGAACTAGAACAGGGGGGTAAAAGGGACTGGTAAGGGCCCCTCTGCTCCAAAAAGAGAGAACAGGGAAGAGGACACTCACGGGCAGCAAAAGCGAGTGAGTCACATCGTAGTGGGAGAGACTGCACTCGGTTACACAGTGCTGTCACCTACAGCTCTGGCCACATCTCCAGTCACTAACACGAGCGTGCCCTAGCAGTCATGTTGACACAGTGAGCCTTCAAGCAAAAGCCTGTAAGAACTGACTAAGTGGCTTTGATGAAGTGTTTTTGTTGTGATTTTTGCCTCTGAACTACGGTTGAAATTACCACAGACTTCTCAGCAGAGCAGTACCCAAAAAAGCTGCTTATTACAAGTGACACTCTGCTTGCAGACTCCAGTGTGCCCATCCACCCTGCCCATGTTACCTGCTGCACCTTGGTGACCATATCATTGTAGACGATATTCATGTTGGTCTCCATGATCTTGACCAACGCAGACACAATGATTTCTGCTTGCTGAGTGGTAAACCCTAGGCAAACACACAGAAACCGGACTCAGAAGAAAAACCAGACAAAGATGTGGAGAAAACACGTGTTTCTGGGAAGGCCTGAATTCTGAAGGAGGAGGAAAGAATGGCCTAGTGGGAGAGAGAGACAGACCTACAGGCTGTGACGTGTCTGCCACCCTGACCAGAAGGAAACACCTGAGTATGCTTCAGTGGCTGGATTCACCAGCAATCTCTGACGCCATCCCAGGTTCTAAACCAAGACAAGCAGAGCATTTCTGCTTACCAAGACAACTTTACATTCCACCCCCATGTCTTTTCTTTTAAATTCTAGGCTGAAAGGCGTTTTGGTGGAAAAGGCCTGCTGTTTCATTCGGTGAGAAAAGCCAAACAAACTATTACATCGTGCTTGACCATTTTCCCGAAGCCCACTACGCACATTATTGAATTTAATATCCAAGGGGATCTATGGGAGTCTTCTGAAGTCTGTGGTACAGATGGGCTGACACACAGCAGCCGAGGAGGCGGGGCTTCTACGGCTCCCCAGAACCAGGGTGTCTGCCCACTTAACGCAAATGTGTATACCTGGGTAAAGCAACTCAGTGAAGTAAACACAGACATGTTTATTTCAAAAGCATACTCCAGATTTGTGTCACGGCAACCTTTCTGGTCTATGTGTGAGATGTGTGCGTGTGGAATCTGGGTGGATAGCTGAGGGTCTTCCCCAGTCACTCGACACCTTATTTTTATTTTACTTTATTTTTGATTTTGTTGAGGCAGGGTCTCTCACTGGACCTGGAGTTTGCTGACTCAGATATATGGGCTGGCTAGCAAGCTCTGAGGATAATTTTGTCTCCCCTCCCAGTGCTGGGATCAGACACATCATGATGCCTGGCTGTTTACGTGGGTGCTAGGGATCTGCAGTCAGGCGAAGAGAACTTGCTGTTCTTCCGGAGGATATGAGTTTGGTACCCGGCACCCTTTACAGGAAGCTTACAACTAACTATAACTCCAGCTCCAGGTGATCTGATACCTGCTTCTGGTTTCTGAAGGTGCCTTCCCCAATAAATAAAAAGAAAACAAATCTTAGAAATTAAAAAAGGGGGGCTGGAGAGATGGCTCAGTAGTTAAGAGTACTGGCTGCTCTACCACAGGACCTGGGTTCAATTCCCAGCACCTACATGGCAGCTCACAACTGTCTGTAACTCCAGTTCCAGGGGATCAACACCTCACACAGACATACATGCAGGCAAAATACCAACGCACATAAAAATAAATAATTTTTAAAAATTAAAAAAGAAAAGAAAACAAACAAATAGTAATAAAAAAAAAACAAAAAACAAAACCACAATCCCACAGAGGACCTATGGATGTCTCTCAGCTTAAAGGTGCTTGGCATCGAGATGACACGAATTCTATCACCAGAACCCACACTGCAGAGGGAAGAACTAATTCCTGCAAGCTGTCATTTGACCTCTCCCTAGTCACAGTAAATATATGTAAAAAACCAAAATAAAACAAAACCAATCCCCCAAAACACCTAAAATACAAAGCAAAACAACAACAAAAACACCAAAAAATCTCAAATAAGCAAAAATGTACTGTTTTTCCCCACAAAAGAAACTTTTAAGAAGTCTCCATTGTACTGATACAGTAAAAAGGCTTCCTTCATCAAGGCAGGGTGCAGGGGAGCAGGTCAATGCAAAGGTTTGTACCCAGCAGGCACCGAGCCCTGCAGAAACTGTGCACTGTGGTACGTCTGTAACCCCAAGGAGAGGCGGGGTATCAGAAGTTCCAGTAAGTTCGAGGCCAGCCTGGGATACTTAAGTGTGTCTCTCAAAAAAGTCTCAAGCCAAGAAAAAAAAAAGTGTACTTAAAAAAGAGGCCGACTCTCTGTCCTAGTTAGCTTCAGCTGTCTACACAGCTGGGAAGAGGAAGCAACCTTAACCAAAGAACTGCTTCCACAGGCCATGGGCATGTCTACTGGGTGGGGGTGGGTATCTGAGAGGACCGAGCCAACTGTGGGCAGTGCCATCCCTGGACAAGTGGACCTGGGCAATCTAAGAAAGCATGCTGAGCAGGCGCGTGGAGTAAGCGGTAAGCAGAACTCCCCCAGGGTCTCAAGTTCAGCTCCTACTGAGTTCCTGTCACTCTTCCCTCAATGATGAACCTAACACGTAAGCCAAACAAACCGTTTCATCCCCCCACCTTGCTTCTGGTTATGGTGCTTACAACAGCAACGAAGAGCAAATGAGAGCACCAACCAAAAGCTTCCTGAAGGCTGGGAAGTCGAAAGAGAGTTACCGGAAATGAAAGGAAGCACAGCAAAAGTCACGCAGGGCTGCACAGATCCAAGGTGCAGCCAAAGGCTGGGGAGGGGCAGGGGCAGGGGCGGGGTGGGGCTTACCATTTGCTTCGAGTAAGCACACCAAAGAGTGGGTGTCAAAGTAGAGTTTTCGACTCACAGAAGAGGGCAAGTTCCCCTTTCTATGCTCCAGCTGCCGGCACTCGGCGGACAGGCTTAGATCTAGAAAGGAAGCAACTATCAGTCTGAGCAGGACACAAAAGTCAACGCTATGTTTCAATACCTCAGCAATCTGTCCCATTTTCACACTAGAATCCACACATACGGTGGAACCAGCCCATTTCATGCATAAAATTCAGTTGTTTCTTATAAATTTAAGAGTCATGCACTACTTTCTCCATCCTGACTAGAAGCTGCATCCTTCAGCCAGTACTCTTCCCTACTGTCTCAAATAGGGTCTCTCTCACTCTGCAGTTCAGACTGACCCGGAGCAAACTAGAGGGCCCCAGCTGGCTTCAGACTCAGTGATACTTCTCCTCATCAGTCTCCCACATCCTGGGATTGCAGGCTTGAGCCACCACACTCAACCCTCTTCCCCACTCTCCACCACTGCCTTAGACAACAGAAATCTGTTCTCCACCCTGCTGTCTGCCTGCTCTGTAGATTTCATATGCATGGGGTCATACAGCATGGTCTTGGCATTATGGTCAATGGCCATCCACGCTGCAGGACATGCCAGCACTTTATTTCTGTGTCACGAATAGCATGCCACTGCCCAGAGATCCCACACTGTTCATACATTCCACAGCTGAAGGATATATACTGTGTACAGTCCATGGCTCTCAATGTTTCAGTTCTCTTGAGTATGTCCCTAGGAGCAGAACTGCAGGATCCTATGGTAGCTGTTTGCAGAATTGCCAGATTTTTCCCCAAGTGGCATCACCAGTTTTCTCGTTTATGTGCAGCCAAAGAGGCTCCCAATTTCTCCACATCCTCACTGATACTTGCTATGATGTTTGCTTTATAAATTATAACTACCCTCAAAGGTACAAACACTATCTGTAGCTTTCACCTACATTTCTCTCTTATCTAACAATGTTGGCCATCTTCTCATATGCTTACTGGAAATCTGAGTATCTTTGAAGAAATGTCTAAGTCCTTTGTCTACTTAAAAAAGTATTTATAGTCAGGTGTGGTGGCACATAACTTTAATCCCAGCACTTGGGATGCCTAAGCAGGAGGATCTCTGTAAGTACGAAGCCTGGTCTACACAGAAAGTTCTATGACAGCCAGAGCTACACAGGGACCCTGTCATAAACAAACAACTGTAAGTCATCCCATGTGGGTGCTGGGCACTAAACTCATTCTCTAGATCAGCAAGTGCTCCTTTTTTTTTTTTTAAGTCAAGAGTTTCTTTTGTAGCTCTGGCTGTCCTAGAACTTGCTCTGTAGAACAGACTAGCCTTGAGTTTACAGAGACCCACCTGCCGCTGCCTTCCAAGTGCTGGGATTAAAGGTGTCAGCTACCATGCACAGCTTGCTCCTAACTATTGAGCCACCTCTCTAGCCTTTTTGTCTGTTTCAATTGGGCTTTCGTCTTTCCATTATTGGACTGAATCATTTTTCATATATTCAAACACAAGTTCCTTATCAGACTATTTGCAAATACTTTCTTCCATTATCAATTAGTTAATATTTTTTATATGTTTTATACTTTGAACTTCTGAAAAGTTCAGTTTTGATGATGCCCAAATAACCTATTTCCCCTTCTGCTGTTTCTCCTACAACTGTCACCTGTCAGAGACTATTGCTAGTCTAATGTGTATGAAGACTGACACCATGTTTTCTTCTCAGAGGTTCCCAGTGTTAGCTCTTTCAATGAGGCCAATGCTCAGGGAGTTACGTATGGCATGAGGTAGCCTCACTGTTCTGTATGAAGACAGCTAGTTGTGTCAGCACCATTTTCTCTATGACACTGTCCTGTCACCCTGGCTAAAAATCAGTTGACTGTGTGAAGATTTACCTCTGACTTCTTCATGTATTTAATTCCTCCACAACATGTGTCCTCATCAGGAAGTAGATTTTGTTCTTTATCATGATTGTTGGGCTATTATATATGAATTTTAGGATAAGTATGCCATTTTTTTTTGCAAAGAAGAGGTTGTGAGATTTTGAAGATTGAATTCTGTGACTCAATTAGGGGTACTGTCATCTTAATAATACAGTATTCAAATCAATAAACACGAGACATCTTTCTGTTGATTTAGGTCTTTGATAGCTCTAATCATGTTCTATAGCTTTCTGAATGTGTGCTTTGTGATCTTTCACAAGCTTATCCATAAGGGTTAATTAAGGTCTTTCAAATGTCCCTGGAATGAAACTGTTTCACTTTTACTTTCAGAGTGTGTAGTACGGTGTGTAGATATACGCCTGACTCGGCACTCATTGATGCCTTTTGGACTTTTCCAGGTAATTCAGGGCATCCCTAGTGTTTCCACAACCAAGATCACATCATCTGTGAGGGACAGCTTTACTTCTGCTTTCCAGCCTGGATGCCTACCATTTCATTTTCTTATCTAACTGCCCTGGCTAGAACTTGCCCAAGGGCAAGGCTGGACCCTGATCTGGGAAGGAAAATTCAGTCTTTCATCGTATCTAGGCTGGTTTTGAAGATATTTTTTTAATCACTTAAATTCCTACTCCACAGACAGCTCACCTCTCTTCCTGCCAATTTTGATCTCACTATGTAGCCTAGGTTGATTCTGAACTCAAGATCCCCCTCTTCTGCCTTCCAAGTTCTGAGATCACAGACCCAACCCATCCTGTACACTTATTTCAAGGTCTTCATCGGATGCAGAAAGCAAAGAACACTGCAACGCTCCCCTGGCTTACTGTGCTTCACCAACACTAAATGTTTTGCTTTGTTTTGAAATTAGAGTAACATTTGGGGGTGGGGAGACAGGGTCTCTGGTTCTTCTGGAACTCTCTATGTAGACCAAGCTGGCCCTGAATTTACAGAAATCCTCCTGCTTCTGCCACCACCAATTTGTGTGTGTGTGTGTATGTGTGTGTGTGAGAGAGAGAGAGAGAGAGAGAGAGAGAGAGAGAGAGAGAGAGAGAGAGAGAGAGAGAGAGAGAGAGAGAGAGAGAACAGGACTGTGCCCCCTATGAGGCTGTTTGACACCCTGATAGCACTCTATGCTTTACCCCTTGAAACAAGGTTTCTTAGTGAATCTGGAGCTAGATGGACAGTGAAGAAATATTGATCCTCATGGCTCCCCCTCATAGCAAGGTTAAGATGCAGGCAGCCCTAAGGGGCCTTGGGTAGTATTTATCCCTGGCGTACAAATAGACTTTGAGTGCCCATGCCACAATATGGGAGGCTATCTCAGCTGGGACTCTTGGGGGAGTGCCTAGGCCCTGCCCTGGATGAAATGACAGTTACTGGAGATCCACCATGGAGTGCCTTACCCTCCCTGTGGATCGAGATTGGGTGGGGGACTGGGGGACCTGATGGGGAGGGCGGGGGAGGAGGGGAGAAAGAAGGAGCTGGGATTGACATGTGAAACAAGCTTGTTTCTAACCTAAATTAAAAAATAATATTAAAAAAAAGATGCAGGCAGCCTTGCCTGGCACTTTACACAGATGCTGTGGATTCAAATCCCGGTCCTTTTGCTTGTGCAGCAAGTGCTGTTATGGCCCAGCCATCTAATTTTGCCAAGAAAAGGCGCTTAAACTCAGTAAACTAAAAGAGGCATTCTGACACAAAAGCAGGGCAAGTAAAAGTAAGGGACTTTTGTTCAAGTTACAGACCATTAGGGTCATGGAGATCTCACTACACATTTGTCTGTACTCTTCTAACTTTGGCACGGTGTGGCTGCAATGCAGCCAGCTACTGTGGAGAGTAGAGAGAAGGACCCTTACTAACTCAGGGATAAAAAGGTTTCTTCAGCAGGCCGCCCTAAACCAGAACACACTTAAGCTGATTAACCAAGTCTCGAACCTTCAGGGTGGCGTGGGTAAGACCCCACAGGTCTGATGTTTCTCTGTGGCCTTCGGCAGCCACCCCGAACTACTGGTTACGTGGGAAGACGTAGCCATGCTCGTGGTGAGCATCCAGCTGAGAACAACAGGTGCAATAATTGTGTCAGCAATGTCTGCTGCCCAACAAAATATAAAGGTCTGTGCATCTGATGGTCAAAATGGGCTCTTGGTGCTTCAAGGAGGCTGCTTCCTTTCCCAGCTGTTATGTTTTTAGCATAAACTGTGTCTATTTCCTCCACACAGGTAAAGAACAGCCTTTATTGCTCCTTTACCCGTGTTCCCAAGCTGGCACAGGAAGCCTTGTTACAGCATTGAATACTGTATTTCCACATCTGCATCATTCAGTAGTCCACATGGTTTAGAAGCAGCCAGATTCACTGTCTTCATTTTTAGCATCCATCAGAGGGCCTTCTACACAGCAAGCCAGGAATAATTTTATACTTTGTACTGAAACTATAACATCTGGGATCTAGATTATGACACTAGTCTACCTGTTCATGTGAGCGAACTCACATTACCCTGGGCCTTTTTCATCACCATTCATCTCTAGCTCAGGACTAGAGGCAGCTCTGTAAGGTAACAGCAAGAAAGTCTGGGGCTGAGGATGAGGCCCTGGAGTCAACGCTCGACACCATATAAAACCAAGTGTGGTGGTGTACACCTGAAATCCTAGCATTCAGGAAGCGGCAGGAAGACCAGGAGTTTGAGGTCATGCCTGCCTACATTAGGACTTTGAGGACAGCCGAGGCTATATTACGAGACCCTGCTCCGCCCCACCCCTAGGTAAATCAGACCTAGCTCAAAAAACAGTGTTACATGAATGAAAGTGCTCCTCTAGGGCCATCTCACTCATCTTAGATCTCTGCTGGAATAGTCCACAGATTGAGGCACTTGAAAACGTGAGTCTAGAGTGTATGGCAGGGCCACTCTAGTCCCCAATTCCTTGTGTTGAATGAGAAGGCAACTCTTGTGACTTACAACATCAACGCCAGCCTCACTCTACCTCACTACCATATTCACCCAGTAGAACAAAAACAATCACAACAGGGTCTGGAGAGAAGACTAAGCAATTATGGACACTGGCTGTTCTTCAGAGGATCCTGTCTATTCCCAGCACCCGGATGGTAGCTAGTTTACATGTATGAACACATGTTCAGGTGTATAAGCAATATGTGTGCCTGTCTGTAGAAGCCTGAGGTTGATATCTGGCATCTTTCTTGATTAATCTCTACCTTATTCAGCCAGGCAGGGTTTCTCAATTGAACCCAGAACTCATGTGATGGGGGATATCCTTTTGTATGTTGTGAATATATGTTTCTCTTATTGGTTAATGAATAAAACTGTTTCCGCCAATGGGCAGGCAGGATGTAGCCAGGCAGGAAGTGTAGATGGGGCTACCAGACTAGAAGAAGGCTGGGAAGAAGGACGTGGAGAGTGAGTAGCCAGAGAGATGCCATGTAGCTACTGAGGAAGGTAGGATGCCTGGGCATTCTCTGGTAAGCCAAGACCATGTGGAAATACACAGATTAATAGTTATGGGCTAATAGTTAAGAGAGAGCTAGCCAGTAAGAAGCCTAAGCCATCAGCCAAACAGTTTATAAGTAATATAAGTCTCTGTGTATTTGTTTGGGATTGAATGACTGCAAGACCAGGTAGGACAGAAACTTCCATTGGTACGGATTTTGGTTTATTGATACAAATTTAAGGTCAACTTTTTATATGTATATTGCTACTCTTGTTTAGGTATTGTGTTTGTATAGCTCTTTTAAAAGTGTTATATATAATTTAAAAATACAAATTAATAGATAATAATCTGTAATAATCAAAATTTATACTCATGTTAGTTAGGTTTTTTAGATATATAAAGATTATTTTAAATGGACAGGTATCCTTCAAAACCTTTCAAAGACCTACAGAACATGGCATTTAAAATGGTTTATCAGGGTTTTTCATGTCAATGAGATACAACTGCTCCTAACAATATCAATTACATCAGAGAGGAAGATAGACATTGAAGAAACTTGTTATGGAGGTGGCCTTCAACATGGCATGGATAGCCTTTTGGACAAGAAACTGTCTTGCCTGGACTGCTTGACAGCATGCTGTCCAACCTGGAAAGGCAGGCTACAAAGAAAAGTGACTGCTGAAACTGCCAAGGGACAGAGTGGTCCTTCGAAGCTCCTGTTTCATAAAAACTCTGCCACACAGTCTGGGCCTATAGGCTAAAGAGGGATGCCCCAACGTTACAGAGGAACTTTGGGTGACTGTCCAGGCAGCAAGATGCCTCTGTCAATTCTAGAGTTTATATTATAACCTTCTGGAGTCTTTGACAGAGTTAAAGAACTTAGTTATGATAAATATAAGTTACATATAAAACTTTAGACTCACAAAGATAGGACAGATGATAGAACATTTTCTTTAAAGTTTGCACAATGTTAATGTACTAAATATTGTTAATATAGTTTTTGCTTGATAACATATTTTGAAATATATATATATATATATATATATATATATATATATATATATATATATATATAGCTTTGGAGCCTGTCCTGGAACACACTCTGTAGACCAGGCTGGTTTCAAACTCACAGAGATCTGCCTGGCTTTGCCTCCTGAGTGCTGTTATTAAAGGCATGTGCCACCAACTCCCAGCTGTTTTACATAATTTTATTATGTTAAAGCTAAAGCCTTCCTTTTATTTAGAGAGAAAAGCAGAGATGATGGGGAATGTCCTTCTGTATTTGGTGAATATATGCTTCTCTTATTGGCTAATGAATAAAGCTGTTTATTATACATACAGGCAGGATGTAGCCAGGCAAGAAGTATAGGTGGGGTTACCAGACTAAGAGAATACTGGGAAGAGAGTCGGTTGTAAGGGTGACTCCATGTAGCTACCGAGGATGAAAGGCCCAGGCATCACTGGTAAGCCAAAACCACATGGAGATACACAGATTAATAGTAATGGGTTAATAAATAATAAAGATCTAGCCAATAAGAAGCCTGAACTATAGACCAAACAGTTTATAATAATTATAAGCCTCTGTGTGTTTATTTGGGACTACACAGCTATGGAACGGATGGGACAGAAACTTCAGTCTGTACTCATGGATATGGTTAAAGATCACTCCAATGGTAACTTCTGAGTGTTGGAATGACAGGAAGATCATTATGCAAGCCCAGTATTTATGTGGGTTCTGGGGAACTGAAGTCTGGTCCTCTTGCTTGAGTATTATATCCCCAGACGCACAAATCTCCACTGCTAGTAAGAACTAGCAGCGATTTGTACGCGTACATTTTTTTCTTTTTCCTAAAACAACTGGAACTGAAATAGCAAGCTTATTTCAAGAAAACTGTCTTTTAAAAAGTAGGGAAAAGGGCTGGCCACTTCCCAGTTGGCATTCTATTTGCTGAGGGAAGGGAATGCCATCATGTTCTCTGTCAAACGACAACAGTGTGGACATGGCTGTTCTGTATTCCCAGGAACCACAGCAGGAAGCTAGCAAGTTAAGGTGTATTAGAACGTAACACATAATTCTCCTTTCTGGAGACTTTCATCATAGCAAAAGGATGTTAAAACCCATAATTACAAAAGAAGTCCAAGGCTAACCTTGAATAGATGAGAAGCCAACTGCAAATGTTGAGGACACAACACCCCGAGGTGGATCTATCTACTGGGGACATCAGGTACACAGCCAAACAAACAACCCAGGGCTGAGAATAGAGGAACAAAAATGGACACGAAAGCTTCCTACTGTCTCCGCTGTGTCCCTTTTAAAAACGCATCTATCCTCATGTCTGACTCAAGAATGACACTAAAATGACACCACCTTGCTAATGCAATAAGAAAGAACCTCTTCCTTTGCTCCAAAATCGTAAATTTTAAGAAGCAAACAAATCAGAAGGCAACAGCTTGTTAAAAGTACATCAAGCAGGGTGTGGTATCCTAGACTTTAATCCCAGCACCTGAGAGGCGCAGGAGATCATTATATGTTCCAGATCAGTCAGGGCTATGCAGGTGTGACCCCCTATCAAAACAAAACAAATTAAAATAACATATAGAAAGGCAAGGCACAGAAATAAAAAGCCAAACCCACCCCCAACTCCCAATTCCTATAAGACTGATACAAAGCTCACTGCTCATTCCCCTGTGTATAAAGCGTCCTTCATCTTTCGGAACTATTTATCAGTTTCTCCCCTAGCCACAGGTATCCTTAAATTTTAGATGCTGGCAATCCGGAAAACAAAAGCATGGGTGTGGATGGCTACTAATGGACAGAAACAAGTTACCTAAGGTGTAATTATGCCACCTTTTCTGATTAGTCGGCACAATAAGATTTTATCTACTTACTTTGAGCAAATTCCAGCTAGTTTACTTTCAAAATCTTACAGTTCAGTGTTGCACCTCCCCACCTTCAAGTATTAAATGACACATCAGTGAATCAGACTTCTGTCACCCAATTTAAACGCACAAACGGAGGTCCTCTTCAGTTCCTAAGCATACTGCCTCTATTTTTCTCTATAGTATTTGTCAAATTAGTACATACAAAGTCAACATGGATAAGTACATATTCATATACAAAACACACACATACATGGTGCGTGTCTTGCGCGAAGTAAGCTCCAGAAAGGAAAGATTCTGTTGAATTAACTACACCCAAACAGCTAGTAAAGTGCCAGGCACAAAATGGGCGAGTGCGGGCCATGAGTGAATCAATACAGTTTGGAATCAAGTCAAAGTGTCATGCCATCTCTTTATTCCCCGATCTGCACGTTTGAGCATCCGCATCCAGCACTTTTTCCAAGTCTCCCTGGCTCTAACAGGGAGTATGCGTGTCAGCGGGTGCCCGACCACGCGAGCTCTGCGCTCCGAACCTTCGCCCGGGCGTGGACAGAGCCTCGCCGCCTGGGTGACCCGTGCTCCCGCTTGCCTCACCTCTCCGGCTGCTCGCCAGCGAGGGCACACGCCCGGCGCCCAGCGACAGACGGCCCTGCGCGTTTCTGCCGGCGCCGAGCGCGGCCGCGAGGACGGCGCGCCCCGGGCGCGTGCGCTCAGCCAGCGTCCTACGCGGGGCGGTGGCGGCCAGGCGCGGGGAAGGCACGAGCAGGAGCAGCAGCAGCGGGGCCGCGCGGGCGGTCCGTCCTCGAGGAGTCAGCCAGCTTCGTCCGCAGGGCAGTGGGGAGACGCTGGAACGCGCCGGGACTCCGCAGCCCGAGGGCAGCAGCCGCTGACGGCCCGGTGTGCGCTTCGGCCGCTCGCCTGCCACGGAGCCGCTGGCCATCCCCGAGCGGGTCACAGGCCCGGGCGCGCAGGCATGTCGCTCCCGCGCGGCCCCGACCACGAGTCGCCGCGGGAACGAGCGTGGGCGCGGGCACAGACTTGCCCCTTCCTGTCGGAGGGCGGCGGCCGCGGTAGTCCGCCGTTGCCACGCCCCCTCCAGTAGCCACGGGCCTCTTTTAGGCCCTCCCTAACCACGCCCCTCTCCAGGCCCTTGTAACTACTCCCATCATGTGGCTGTCTTAGCCACGCCCCTTCCCGGGTCTGGCCCATAGCCACACCCTCTCCGGGGCGGCCTTTACGTTACCCTGCCCTTAGCTCCTTTGTCGTGGCCTGTGGTGACCTCGTCTCTGGCACAGAGTTATGGTGCAGGGTGTCATGGTTGTTTATAGTGGAGACACTCAGAAAGTTACGTTGCGCTTTCTGTTGCAACGATGTACACGATGTACACTTTCATTACGCCGTTGTCTCTAAAAAATGTTAATGACTCCTTTGTCCTTCGCAGACCTGTAAAAAGTCCTTGGCCACTGACTGGCTTGGATTTTATTAACTACCCAGGTCTCAAATTCCCTAGTGTTGCGCGTTTTAAGGAATTATTCACAGGGCATAGGAAACTGTGTTTGCAGAGTCAATACACTTACAGCTAAACTTTCAGAGTTTTGCTTTTTGAGTCAAAGTCTCACTGTGTAACCCTAGCCTTGCTTCCAGAGTGATGGGATTAAAGGTATACACTACCACGTAAGACTACATTTCTTGTTTTAGATTAGAGCACTGATAAACATTGGAAGGCCCTTGTGTGTAAACACCCAGCCTAAATGCTAAATTAGACTACTTGGGGGTAATAAAGAGACACTTGAAGCAGGTGGATAGTTCAGAACTTTTTGAAAGACTGTTGTACTTCATGGTTATTGGTCCTTTGCATAAAATTGAAAAAGTTTGTTGAGTGAATGAGTAAAACGCACAAGGCACTATGATAGGAGAGAGGGAAAAAAGGAGATTGTGCTGAATTAAAAAAAAAGAAATAGGAAAGAAAGGACATGACTGCTCCTAGGTATGGTGGAGGAGGTTTTTACTGAAAACAAAAGGGAGAGCATAGCCAGAGGCAGAGACTTCTGGGAGAGTCCAGACTGAACATGACCTTGAGCCTGGCCCAATGGGAGAGGGAGGGAGGCCAGAGGGGAGTCTCAGGAGCATTAAGGTAGAGGAAAAAGTGGCTGGATTGTGTAGGGAAGGACATCTGAGGAAGAGCAGCCCAGTCCCTGGGATGAGAGTTCAGGTGGGGGAGGTGCGTCAGCCCGCAGGACCCTGAACAGGTAAGGACTGAGGGATTGGGGAGAGCCTGGCAGCCAGGTCCACTTTAATATGTTAAATAGGCGTTTCAGCGTGTTTGCTGACCCAACGGTTGTATTCTTGGAGTGGTCAGTAATGAGCTAGTGTGGTTTCTTTGTTGTTGTTGTTTTGCTTTTGTTGTTTCAGTTAAAGGCTGTTGCCTGTACACTGCTCACTCCCAGTGTGCTGACTATGATGCTGAGCAGTGGAGTCTGTGGACAGGTGTGAAGTGACCTCAAAATGCAAAGAATTAACAGTGAGGGACAAGCCAGACACTTAAAACACTAGGAAATCAATTTGTAGAATGACGGGCAATGGAAGGTAGGGTTACTCACCTACAGACTTTTGTGTTGAAGAATTTTGCTCTGAAAATGTAATCTAAGAAAAAAAAACCAAAAATCCTGTCAGTTTAGATCATAAGAATTTCTATTTTTATAGGTCAAAACTATTGAACATTTGGGAATTTCCTATAGGACAATTTAGTTCATGAGCAAAGGGAAGCTTAGATGTGGTGGTGCAGTCCTGCAGTCCCAGAATTCCAGAGGTAGAGGCAGGAGGACCAGGAGTTCATCCTCATTCTTGGCTGCATAGCAAGTTCAAGGCTAGTGTAGAATACCTGAGATAGGTGTGTGTGTGTGTGTGTGTGTGTGTGTGTGTGGAGAGAGAGAGAGAGAGAGGTAATGTGTCATGATTTGTGACTGAAAAGGTAGGCAAACAAATGTACAACGTTAGAAACATGGTTACATGAAACTGACACAAACAAGTCTTTCAAATCTTCAAACTTTAAAGTCCATGGATTTTATATGCTTAATAATTGTTCTTAACAATTACATATACCACCCAAATAAGAGCTGGGGCATTTTCATTTCTCTGGAATAGTCCTTTCCTGTTTCCCAAATCACCCAGCAACCCATGGAGAGGCACCTGGGCTCTGATTTCAACCACTGCAGACTAGTTTCACTGGTTCCTGGCCTTCAGTGCAACCCTGCAAAAAGCATTGCCTAGTGTCGAACTCGTACTTCATGTCTGATCTCAGTACAGTATCTGTGAGAGTCGTCCATGCTACTCTCATTATTAAATGCCTCCCATTGTATGACTAACAATGGCCATGTATCCATTCTTCTATTGACTGCCATTTGGTCTGTTTCCAGTTTGGGGTTACTATGAGTAAATCAATCCTGTGGACATGTCTTAAACTGTCTTATGAAAATATCTAAAACTCAAACTGCTGAATCATATGATAATGTAATTGAACCTTATAGATACCAATGAATTGTTCTTTCAAATGGACCACATTCTTTTTTTCTCTCGCCAAGGAATGGGATTTTCAGTTGTTTTACATGCTTGACTGCTTGAGTATTTTTAACCCCTTTTTGGAAACTGTAACCATGACTGGTGGAGTTTTCAGTGTTCATGGATGTAACACAGGGCAATCACAAAATAAAGGGGTGAAGACAGAGAGACCAAAGATGGTCAGCATGGATTAAAACATTCTTTTAAAATACTCAAAAGAGGAAATAATTAAAAATCAATTGATTAATTCAATTAAAAATAGACAAATACAAATTTTAAATGGAATACAAAAAATTAAAGATAAATGAACTATGAATTAACAAGACATTGTCTTCAATTATAATGCATCTGGGTTAAAAATAAAGGGCAAGGAAAGGGAGATGAATTTTGTCCTCTTCTTGGACTAATAGAGTTGCATGTTGACAAAGAATACATAAAAGCTATGGGTTTTCTCTGACTGAAATGTATCAAAATGTTAGATACAGTAAATATGACAATTAGGAGCAGAATACATTGGTGAGGACTTGGTGGGGAACAGTGAAGGCTTCTAAAATGCATGCAGTTATTACAGTATGTTAGTAAAAATGTTTTATATATTTTTGTCTATTCTATAAATTAATTTTCTTTCCTTTATTTCAGCAAAATCACTATGTTGTATTATGAAAAATTTCACGTAATTAGTTATCCTTGACTAGAGAATACTTAAAAGATTATGGCATAGAAATTGAGCAAAATGCTGGGTGGTAGTGTCACACACCTTTAATCCCAGCACTTAGGAGGCAGAGGCAGACAGATCTCTATGGGTTCAAAGCCTGGTCTATGAAGTGAGTTCCAGGACAGCCAGTGCAATTACACAGAGAAACCCTGTCTTGGAGGTGGTGGTGGTGGGGGGGGGGATGAACAAAATTTGAAATATCTGTGTAGTGACATCTTGTTTGTATAAAAGCATGTCTGAAGATCAGAGGGTGGAGGTGCCACTGGCTAACCATAGAGGTCTGGAGGTCTGTACAGACAGACAGGAAGTGAGATGGCTGGGCAGAGAAAGGAATATAGGTGGAAGGAAACAGGAACTCACTCTCTTTTCCACTTGGAAGCTAGTGAGGTAAAGGTGACCTTGTCTTGCTCTTCTTCTCTCTGATCTCTCAGCATTTTCCCCTATATCTGACTCCATGCTTTTATTATTAGGACCTATTAGAACTCGTGTTACATTTCTACATCAAAAGCATCAAGGAAATGTGAAAAATGTTTAAATTTAAATTGTTCTAACGACTTACATAAATGTCTATTAAAATCTGAAAATTTTTATTGAAAGGCCAAATTATTGCAATGATCAAAATGATTCCAAGTTGATATTTCTATTTAATATTTCAAAAATTTTATGTAACCATAGTGAATGTTTTTATGTTGAAATGCTGTTTGTAGTTTCGGTGTTCAGTGCCCTCTAGTCTCTCTAGTCAGTAAGATAAAGAATTGGGATCATGATTTACATATGCCATGTCTGTCTCACTGAACACTGTGAGATGTGGCTGAGATGTCATCTGTCACACCTGTAAATAAAACTCTAATGTTCTGTATCTTCTAGACCAACCAATTAGACATAAAGATAAGTGAGAAAAATGGATGCTTGGCTGTCCAGGAATCAATACTTTGTTAGGCAAGAATCTATTGCTTTGTCTAGTGGTCTATTGATTGGCCTTTCTTTGCTTGGTGTCTTCCTTCTGTCCTTTTATCACAGACATGCTTGAGAGCATTTGTTTATAAAATTTCATTATATATTATTTTATTGTCATTATTATTAAGTTTATTATCTTGGTATCTTTATTGGAGTTTACTGTTTAATATTTTTATTATTATTTCGTATGCATGGGTGTTTTGTCTTCATGTATGTCTGTATACCATGAAAATGCCTGGAGCCTGTGGAGGCCTGAAAGAGCCATCAGGTTCTCTGGAACTGGAGTTACAGTTGTTTGCGAGCCATTATGTGTGTCCTGGGAACCGAACTTGAGTCTTCTGCAGTAGCTCTTAACCTCTGAGACATCTGTCCAACACAGTTACTCTACCCTACATCCACAGGTGTAGCTCTTAAGTCATTGGTTCTCAACATGTGGGTCATGATCCATTGTGTGTGTGTGTGTGTGTGTGTGTGTGTGTATAACAATCATTTCACAGGGGTCTCATACCAGCTATTATGCATATCAGATATTTACATTACAATTCATTACAATAGTGAAATTACAGTTATGAAGTAGCAAGGAAAATACTTTTTTTCTTTCCTGTTTTTTTGAGACAGGGTTTCTCTGTGTAGTTCTGGCTATCCAAGAGCTCACCCTGTAGACCAGCCTGGCCTTGAACTCAGAGATCCATCTGAGTGTTGGGATTAAAGGCATGCACCAACACCTCCCAGCTAGCAAGGAAAATAATTTTATGGTTGGGTGTAGACTGTAGCCTTCCTGCCATCTGCCTGGGCCCTTCCACAGTTGCAGTCCCCAAATAACACACAAGATGCTATATTA